TTTATTTATTTTTTTCATGCAACCCTGCAGGTCTCGAACCCGTTACATTTCGCATACCTCTCGCTTACCAGTCTCTCTTCTATACCACTACACGACGAGGTTCAGTTGAGAATTACCCCTTAAAAAATCATTTTTATTTTACTTGATCGTTAACATTCCAAAAAATTTACATTACAATTTACTTATTCATCTGATTAACCATGTTTCAAACCGCACGAAAACATGTATTGGATTTTTTTAATCAACTGGGCCCCCAGTGAGTTTCGTTTCTTCTTCGTAGCGTTCACTTGAAAACTGACTCGATGCTTCAAGAGTAGGTTCACGGAATATCTCTACCTCTAAAGGCCACGACGTCTTTGACTGTTTGTCCTCGTCCTGTGCCAGTGGAGATGTCTTCCTTTACTTTATGCCAGTTGTTCCCGAAAGGTGTAAACAGTCGTTACTGATACAACGAGCATCGAACCTGCTCGCTTTTTCTGTAACATGGGCTCGAGAAGGATGGACACAACTAACTTCAGGAATTTCATCGCTAGATGACTTTTCGCGTTCCCTCAGCGTTGAAAGAAACAAAATACACCGCAGCAAATGAAAGCGTAGCGGCCAGGGTTACGGCTTTTCGCAAGTAAATCAGGGGACAAATACGAGACCACAACACCGAGGTAAGGTAGTGGTTTATTGCACTGGATTTTCTTTAATTTACAGAATCAAAATACTAGTTCACCTTAACAACATTTTATAGCTAACCGCAGTCAGTCAGTCACTCAGTCAGTCAGTCAGTCAGTCAGACAGTCAGTCAGTTAGTCAGTGAGGCAGTCCGTCAAATAGGTGTTGATCTTTTTGTTTTGTTTTCCTGTCCAGACGGATATTCATCTTCACCGTAAAGAATGGGACCGAATGCTTGAGGAAGAAAAGTGGGAACCAGAGCAGATTGTAGCCAAGTTACCTACTTCCTTACAGTTCTTACGATAAGTTCAGAGCAGTGTGGCACAATGACTTGCTGTCTGTGGCAGGGTAGTGTAAGTGGAGACTGAACTTTTTGAAATAAACGAGCGGTTTTTAATTCACTATTATAACGCAAATATCTAGTGT